TGGAAGGACCTTTGTCCTTCCTACTTCAAAAATTTTGGGGATTTGACATGTCGTGAGAGGGAAGTTGCGTTGCTCCTGCTCATGAAGGGGAAGGTGGTCGCAACCAACGTCAAGGTCTTGCCTCCAAGAGTGAACACAGAGTGCCTCCTCGACATCATGCGAAAGGAGCGGTACATGGTGCGTATGTTCAATTATGTTCTGTTCCGCGCCGAGGGAAGGGCGGACGACGAATGAAACGATGCGTTCTTCATGTCGTACAAGGACCAGAATATGGTCCCTCGACGACTTGGAGGAGTGGAGGAGGCAAGGCAAGGCGCGGGCTTGGGGCCTACGGCGGCAATGTATAAGGAGGCTCCGTTTCACCTTAAGGTCTTTATATACACTGCAATCGATAAGCTCGATTTGCTTCGCGCCGAGGTGAAACGGATCGCCTCCAGCGCGCGTCATATTGTGTGGGACAAGATTGGCAAACAAACGACGTTGCTACCTGTGTGCATGCCATCGAAGGAAGTGTTGGCAGCGCCAGACGACATCGTCGCTGCAGCGCAGAAAATGACATGCAGGGCCTCCATCGTGGACATCCCATCCTCGAACTTCAGCACGGCGTGGACCTCTCACGAATTTGATGCCTTTCACACATTGATGACCAAGTGTTGTGGCCAGAATTAGGTCCTTTTCTTCTTTGCGCCGCAGAAGGTGCAAAGCGATGTTCTGCGTCACTTGTTCCGCTGGGAGGACGTCGAAGTCATCCCCGGGACCTGGAAACGGGTGGACAGGCCACCGAACGACATCACACGATACGGCAATATGGCTACAACGAGTCGAGATATGATGGCCATTGTCCTGCACGCCGACGGAGGGGATCTGAAAAAAGTAACTGTCAAACCCCGACTCCACAACGACCTCACAACCGTGCACGTTGTGGAGGAGAAGTTCGGGAAGTGTCAAGGTAAACACGGTGGGATAGAGGGCGATGATAGTGCGGTGTATTCCATCTGGGAGCGAGAGCCTGAAAAGTTACGTTCATTGTGCGGGTCATTTGTCGGAGAGGCAGAAGGTGTGCTTTTGTTGGGTAGAGCACACGCAGGTCTTATGTGGGAGTTATTACTGGCAGGTAATAATGTCCTTGCCTGCGACGACTCGGCCAAGGACATTGCATATCTGACAAAGTTCGTCGATATACTTGTGAAGGATGAGAGATTCGTCTGTCATGTCGAGAAGCCACGTTGCAAACATCGTAGCAACAGGGACATGTTCCACAAGTTGGGACGCAAGAGACTGAAGGTGTGGGAATACCTGTTCCGTGATGCGCCGCAAGGACGGCTTGACGGGAATTACATCTACAGGAAAGCAAAGGTGACAGAGACCCTGAAACATTATCACGTTGCTCTTACTGGCGCCTTTGAGACTTTTGTCGCTCGATGCGAGATCCTGAAGTTCGATCTTCATAAAGACCAGCTGATGTCCAAGGACTACGCTGACCTCGCGAAATCGGGTGATGGCTTTAACCCCGTCGACAGCGAGGAAGACTCTTCGGGGTCCGACCTCGAATCGGGCGATGGCAAGGGTGGTGAAGGTCCGGGTGGTGGCATGGTGCGGTCACACGATGAAGGGACAGTTCGCTCGCATGAAAGACCCGTACAGGTGGCCGCCCCCAGTGTTGGCTCGACGGTGGCCCCCATGGAGGGCACCGGTTTGCCAAACATGGGAATATGTGGTCCCAATGATGAAGATGACATTGATATGCCAGGCGAGGCGTCGAAGCTCGCACCAGACGATCCAATTCCTCCCGGCTATTGTGCTGATCCGACCACAATTTATTTCTTGGGGGGCAAACACGCCCGCACTAGTGAGGACAAGTGGGGCCATGACATCGTGTGGCATGAGGGCATTTTTGAGCCCTGCATCCAAGATGGGGAGTGGAAGATGGTGGTCAAATACACACGCGGATGGCAGATGTTTCGTCGGATGTCAAAGGACACATGGCTGAAAACGACAGAACTCGCGATTATGTACCGCGTGCAAAAGGAGAATCCGGGGAAGAGCGAGGGCGCTGTCAAAGACAAGGCCAAAGAATTGTTTTCTGTATTGCGAGACAATCAGCAGTTGGAGTACAGTTCGAAATTTTACGCCCTGCGAACGAGTCCCTCATGTGAGTCAATCGACTGGAAGGTCAATCAAACTATCGGAACCATGGAGGAGAGCAGCTCTCAGGATGCCGTGCCTTTGTCGGCATCGCCCCCTGTACCCACGCAGGCAGGGCAGAGGGAGGATGACGGGAGTAATGTGGTGAAGACTCAAGAGGTTCACATGACGGCTATGCCGCAAATCTCCGTCGACACGACAGAACCGTCCAAACGCATGGATGTGTTAAATTCATTGTCGTCAGATGCAGGTGCCACGTACGGGAGTTTATTACTGACATCCGCCGCATTAGAAGGCACATCCGAAATGCAGTCAGAGTTAGGTGTTGGCCTGAGCGTGCCGGACAGTCAGTTGCAACCGGAGTTATGCACAGGCAAAGGTGATGCACAAGTACATCTGACACCACAGGGAGGGGCCGTTGCGGATGGTGGGAAGGGAGAGGATGTGGAGGGAATCCTCCATCCTCACAATCTTGAGACCTTAACCGATGATTTCGATTATGGGGGTGAGGGTGGAAATGACGTGGTCAATACGAGGGGAGTGTGAAATGATCGGTGAGGCGGGA